GGTCACCCCAATCCGTTTCTGAGGTAAATTTTCGCCTCCGTCCAAGTCTTAGCTAGTTCGGCCCAGCCCGCCCCAGGTCCGGTGTGCGGGAGCTGGAAATCTCGACCTTGGGGTCAGCGGTCTAAAGGCGGTCTCTCGAGCTTTGCCTGCCGTTTCCCGCCGGGACCCCGCGCCCAAGGGCCTCCAGCCGCCACGGCGCTTCCTCAGAGACCCAGGCGCGGTTGGTCCCAAACTCCCTGAATCAGGAACTCTGTGCTGGTCCAGCAGTCGGAGTGAGTCTGCCGCAGGCGAGAGTTGGAGCGCCGTCCTCGTACTTAATCGGCCTCCAAAAGCATCCTTTTGCTCTCTTTCCAGAAAGAAAAAGCATCCCTGCCATTCGGGTCACGGGGACGAGAGCCTCAACCTCGTCTGTACGTTGGTCTGTGGATTTCGACCTATTCGGTGAGCACGGGGTGACATTTGCCTAACGCCGCCCCCATGTCTCCCTTCCTGGTGCAAGAGATCTTATTTAGCCTGTGATTTTTTTTTCTTTCCTGTGGGCATCAGTTTGCTACATTATATTCAAGTACGTGAACCGATTACTTAGTATCTTTTTTAACCCCCTCTCCTTGCCCAATGCAGCTCTAAATGTTAATCATCTATCTGTAGATTTTTTTTTTTGGAATGTCACACTCAAAGTGTGATCGTATGCCAGTTTCAGCGTTTTCTTTTTAATTCCTTGTGCCTGATACTCTTTTCACTTCTTCAGTGCATTTGCCAGGACTTTCAGTTCAATGTAGAATAGCATATAAATTGCATCCTTGCCTTGTTCCAAATCCCAGAGGGAGTTATTCTGCCGTTTCACCATTAAATAGGGTGTTTGCTATAGCTGTTTGTAGATAATACATTTTTTTTCCCTAGTTAAAGCCTATTACCCTCTAGCCCTAGTGAGTTTCAGGTTATTATCACCAATTGATATAGATCAGTCACTTTTGTATGGAAGGGGATGAGTCATATGATTTTTTTCTGTTAATGTGGTGAATTAGTCATTTTTAACCATCCTTCATTCCTACGAGGAAACGAGCTTTGTGACTGTTGTCTTCATTATTCATTTCTGGACTGTGCTAATATTTTAATAATATTTCGCTCTTGTGCATATGAATGAGATTTTATATATATATATATATATACACACACTTAGTTAGTTTGAGGTACTTTTCTGGTCTTGTAAATACTCAGGAAAACAGCCACCCCCCAAAAGAATGGAATTTTGAATCCCTTACTTATTTGGTGAGCCTGCCTGTAAAACAATCTATAACTTATGTTTTTTTGTGTGAATATTGTTATAAATTGCTACCTTTTAAAAAAAATGACTGTAATCAGGTTTTGTTTTGTTTTTTTTTATCATTGCTGGAAATTTGTACTTCTGTCTAGACATTCATTCATTACTGTACATTTTCATGTCTCTTCTCTTAATTTTCTGTTGCATTCTACTTGCAACATCTGTAATTATGACTCATTCATAACTACTTTTGTCTATGCTCTGTTGTTAAACTGCTAAGGGTTTGTTGATTTTACTAGTTTTCAAAGAATGCATTGTTAGCTTTTCTGATTCTGTTTGTTATAAGTTTTTAAGAATATTGTGAATTTTGTCCATATTTATTTTTATTTCTAAATCTTTATGCTATTCTTCTTCCACCCTTCTAAGTCAATGATTAGCCCATTGATACTGATTTTTTTTTCTTCTGTGGGAATTGATGATACTTATAAATACAGTTAACCCTTGAACAACATGGGTTTGAAATGCATGGGTCCATTTACATGTGAATTTTTTTCAATAGTAAATACTACAGTACTACAACAGTTTGTTGAATTCTTGGATATGAAGGCTGACTAGGAGTTACACTCGGATTTTTGAGTACAGGAGGGTGGATGCCCCAATCCTCACATTTTATACAGGGGTCAGCTGTATATAAATATATGTACAACACCAGCTGTGGATTTCCAGTGTTATCTGAAAGTTATTTTATTTATATTTTTTTATTTTGGGGGGGTGATTAGATTTGTTTATTTATTTTTAGAGGAAGTACTGGGGATTGAACCCAGAACCTCATGTATGCTAAGCATGCACCCTACCACTTGAGCTATACCCTACTCTGCAACAGTTATTTTAATTTTCTGCTTCTACCCTGCCACATAGTCTTGACTTGCTAAAGATAAATATGTGTGTATTTCCTTATCCCTGTAATGTGATGCATTTTTAGCATTTATCACCACCTGACATTTTGTTAATTTACTGTCCTCCCTCAGAATGTTATAACACCCACTTACTTCAGGATTTTTCCATTTTGTTCAGGGCTATAATCTCCTGTGACTGCATGTAGTAGGACAGGGTAAATATTACCTAAATTAATATGAAATGAAGGAGCAGGAGGTGGGGATCTTAAGGGAAGCATCCTTGCCGAAGACAGCTTAGTCAAGAGAAGGAGCTCAAAGAGGAATAGACTACTTCATTTGCCTGCTCTCCCTTGTGTGCCCAACAGGGTTCTAGGCCAGACCGTGGTAATGTTAGGGAATAAGAGCTTCGGTAACAACTAAACTGTAAGATACATATTCAGAAATACATTCATTGTTCATTTAGGCTTTGAAGGTAAATAGACCTACATACATACCCTGCCTCAGCAGCCTTCTGATTGAGTAACATTGAGTGCATGGTTAATTGACTCTTCTCCAAGATTGTTCAACTATACTAGTTGTAATAATATCTGATTTGCGGAGTTCCTGTGAAAAATAATCTCTTTGCAGATTCATTGTCACATCATGGTTGCCCAAATGAAACCTGTTAGTAAAGAATGTTACAGTTTTTATTGGCCTTGAAATACATACTTAATCCACTGCAGTGGGAAAAACTTGTACTTTCATTGTTTGAAATCTGTGCAGTAGTGCTTCAGATCTCACTGTGAGAGATGACACACGTTGCTAACTTCCCTTCAAGTGTTCCTGTTCTGCTGCTGCTGTACCTACTGCACAGGCAGGATTGAGCACAGCGTGGCAGGCTTCTCTGCCGCCTGCGTGTGGAGTTCAGTCGGCTGGTGCTCCTGGGACCCTGCCACACTGGAGGGCAGCCAGGTCCAGTAGACAGGGGCGGAGCAGTAATGCACGTTAGCCTGCCAGGAGGTGCAAAAAGAAACACAGGGAGTAGAGCCCCCAGAGGTCTGGTATATAAGTCACTGCTTTCTTGGATTTGAGATGGAGCATATATTCTTACTAATGAATGCATTATCTAATATTTTTTATGCTTTTCATTATCATAGGTAAATAGATAGCTACATTTTTTTAGACTTCAGTTAACTTGCTTACAAAATGGGACTCTTCACCTCTTTTTTTTTTTTTAATGATCATTGAGAACCAGAGGATTATTTTTTAGTGGAGCTAAGGTTACTCCACCTTCTTCTTTTTTTTGTTCTACCTTCTTACAAGATCAGTGTGTATTTGATTGGGTGTCTTGGGAGCATACGTGTGTGTGTGTGTGTATGTGTGTGTTCTGAGGGGAGTGGTCACTTACAACAGATGTGCTGCAGCATCCACAGTCTTGAGTGTGGAAATTGTGGGGAGACCTGGATTCTCATGTCTTCTTTGTCCTACCTCAGCTCTAACTTCTCAATATTCTGCTTTTCTTTATGAAGGGAACATGGAGGAAGAAAGAATAGCTGCTGAGTTACAGAAGACTATGACACAGGTAAGTAAGAGCTAATGATTCTCCAAAAGAATATTTCAGTTCCACCAGGTCATCAGTCTCCTAATTGTTTAAGCAGGAGTCAGCAGCTCGTTTCTGTATTGGGCCACAGAGTAAGCATTTTAGGCTTTGAAGGCCGTAGAGTTTCTATTTTAACTCAGTTCTGGGGGAGTTGGCACCTTTCTGAACAAAATATGTGGGATGTTTTAGGACCCCGTGGTCTTTGAGGATGTGGCTGTGGACTTTACCCAGGAGGAGTGGGCTTTGCTGGATCTTGCTCAGAGAAACCTCTACAGAGATGTGATGCTGGAAAACTTCCAGAACCTGGTCTCACTAGGTAAGAATGGCAGCATTCCTTTATTGAGTTGTTTAGAAAACAGTTTTATCTTACTGATAGACCTTGTTCTAGGATTTGGGCTGAGGAACTGGAATAAATTAGTAAATAAGACAGACATGGTCACTGACCCCAAGGAGCTTACAGTCTAGTGGCTTCACCATGAAAATAAACATATACTTCTTTCTCTTTTTCTTGTGATTGAAACCCTCAAGGCTTATTAAGTGTTGAAAGTGTGGGCACGGACTTCAGGGGTCACTTTAGGGAACAGGAAAAAAGTTGGTAGCTTGGGACCTTCTGAGAATTTTACTGCTCTTAATGCTCTTTATCCAAAGATCACGAATTAAACAAATTGGGTTTAATCACTTGGTGCAGTGAGGGAGAACACATGCCATGGAGAGCTACGGAGTGTCTCAGAAAGGGGATGTCAGAGGATAAATATTGCAGGTTTTATACTTTGAATGAGTAGGAGGTGGGTCTGTGGAGGCAGGCTCTATTGGTTTCCTATAACTTCTATAACAAAGTACCACAAACTGGGTGGCTAAGAACAGCAGAAACTTATTCTTTTAAATTTCTGAGGCTGGAAGTCTGAAATCAAGGTGTGATGATCCTTCTGAAGGCCCTGGGGGGAAAAAAATCCCTCCTTGTCTCTGCTGGCTCTTGGTGGTTGCCAGCAATCCTTGGCTTACAGTACATCACTCTAATCTCTGCCTTCATCTTCATATGCCCTTCTTCCCTCTAAGTCTTTATGTCCTTTTAAGAACACCAGTCCTTGCATTTAGGGCCCACCCTAATCCAATATAACTTTATCTTAACTTGATTATGTCTGCAAAGACCCTATTTCCAAATAAAGTAACATTCAGAAGTTCCTAGTGGAGATGGATCTTTTTTCCCCAGTATGCTTTATTTTTCTTAGAGCAATTTATAGGTTCACAGCAAAACTGAGTGTCAGGTGTCCTCTTTGATGGGCTATCAAAGTTTTTGGCCCATTTTTTAATTGAGTTGTTTGTTTACTTACTGTTGAGTTTTAATTCTGTGTATATCTGAAGATACTAGTTCTTTATCAGATGGGTCTTTTGCAAATATTTTCGCCCAGTCTGTGGCTTATCTTTTCATCCTCTTGACAGTGTCTTTCTCAGAGCAAAAATTTTTAATTTTAATGAAGTCCAGCTTATCAGTTCTTTCTTTCATGAATCATGCCTTTCATGTTGTTAACTGGTGACCTTAAAAATAAAATAGTTGAGGGGGAATGGTAGAGTTCATGCTTAGCATGCACAAGGTCTTGAGTTCAACCCCCAGTACCTCCATTAAAAAATAACATAGTATAGTTATTTTACAAACAAAAATGGTTTATTCATGAATAGCAGAGGAATTGCGGTTTAGGAAGTCAAGCTATAATACAAGCCATAGGTAGGCCAAAAAAAAAAAAAACAACAACGGAGAGAAACATTATTTTATAGAGGAAGTTGGGAGTGGTTGTTTGGATGAAAATCCACTGGAGAAAAGTGAGAATTCAGGGTGATGATGGTTTCATATTGGCTGAGTTGCTGGGGTAGTTGATTTCTTATGGGAGATGTAATGTACATCTTTTCCTATTAGGCCCTGTAATTGGTGATTCTTGTCGATGATTCTTCTGTTGGGGTCTATAATTGACAGTTCTTCCTGTAATTGATGTGTGGAACTGTGTGAAAGCACCTTCTTTCTGGCCTTGACTCCATTTTAGTGAAGTTTCCTTTTATTAATTTTCACATATCTAACATATCTAAGTTATCTGCATTTTTTCCTATGTTATCTTCTAGGAGTTCTGTAGTTTGATATTTTACTTTTAGATCTGTGATCCACTTTGAGCTAATTTTTTACTCCCTTTGATGGGGCCCCCAAGTTGTCCCAAAGCCCTGGATGCCTCCTCCTGTATTTTGAGTTTATTTTTGTAAGAGCGCCAAGATTCTTTTGTTGTTGTTGTTGCTGTTGTGTTTTTTTTTTATGTTTATATCTAGTTTTAGCATCACTTATTGAAAAGACTTTTTCCTCCATTATGTTGCCTTTGCACTTTTGTCAAAGATAAGTGAACTGTATCTATGGGGGTCTATTTCTGGACTCTCAGTTCTGTTCCATTGATCTATTTGGACATGAATTTTTGAGGGTCACTATTCAACCCAGTCCACAGGTGGTCACATTAGATTGGATGCTGATGGAAAGCGAAGCATGGGTAATCCTATTACTGAGTATTTTGTGGGTGGCACAGTGACTTTTTTAGTCTGTGCTTATAAAGTAGCCTTATTTTGTTACATTTTATCATGGTCTTAGAGTAACTGCATCTAAGTCTGGTGTTCTCAGATTACTTATGTTCAACAGAAGAACAAAATGTCCTGCCTGTGAATATTAGATCAGCTTCTAATAACAATATTGTGGTTTAAGTGTGAATGTCAGATCAGTTCTAGACATCAGAGCCCCCTCCCCTGTAAGAAAAAAAAAAACTTGACATTTTGTTGCAATTAAACTCATACTTGCTTTACAGTATTAGAAGACCAAGGTTTTTGCCCTGTCTCATGGAAATGTTCATGGCTCCTCATTGTTTTCCCTCATGATAATACCTTTCTACATGAACAGGGTATCCGCTACACACACCCTCTCTGATCTCCCAGTGGAAACAAGAGGAGGAACCAGAGACAGTGAAGAAAGGACCTACACAGGAGGAGCATCAGGAAGGTAAGACTCCTTGAGAGAAACTGATCTGGTTGAGGGATATTTCATTTGGAAAAATAAAATGAAAGCAAAATAAGCTTTGTTTTGTCTGAGGAGGCTGATAATCCACAGATACTGTAGATTACTGTTTTGACTTTTTATCAGTCTTCTCATCCTTCCCTTGTTCTTGGGAAAGACCATATTTCCTCTTTATAACTTAGTATTTGTTCATGTGCATTTTATCCAGTTTCTTTTTGTTTTACTCTCCTAGTAATACCCCATTTATGTTACCATCAGCCTCGGTCTTCATGGAATTATTTTTTAGTTGCTTTGCCATTTTGACTGAGTGCTTATTACAAAAGTCCTGAGCTAGCCACACTGCCAAAGTCCTTTGCTCATGGGTACCTTTACTTTTTCGTTTCAGGTTTTGAGACTCAACTTAAAACTAATGAATCAGTCACTCTGCAAGATACTTATGAAGAAAAAATAACCAATGAACAGACTATAAAAAGATTCAAAAGGAATGATTCCTGGTCATCCATCTTACACAAAAACTGGGAATACTCTGATACTGATTATCAGAACAAAAGCCATGAGACACATTTGAGGTGAGTGCCATTCATATAGGAGAAAGTAGTATCTCGGGAGAATCTTAAAATGTCATGAACTTTTAAACATGCCTATAGAAAACTTGTTCAGAAATGGTGATTTCATAAAGAATTTTCATAAGATATTTTTGCCACAAATGAGATCTTCAGTGTCTGACTCGTAATTCATTTGTAATCAACTATCAGAAAAATCCCTTAAGTCAAAAACTCTGATAATATTGGCCATGGTGGAGCCCTCTGTGAGAACTTTCAGCTTATAGTTGGATAGGGCAGAAAGCATATGTAGTCACTGAAAATGGTAAAAATTTACTTGTTACTAATAATGTGCATTTTGTTTTTAAAAGAAGTCACATGGTGGAGAACAGCTATGAGTGTAACGAAGAAAATAAGTGTGAACAAACCTTCGACCAGATTTCAGATATTAATATGCCCAAGAGAACTACTGAAGTAAAGTTCTTTGAGTGCCATGAGTGTAAAAAGGCCTTCACGGATCATTTATCCCTTAAGAATCACATTAGGTCTCACACTGGAAACAAACCCTATCAATGTAAGGAATGTGGGAAAGCTTTCCACTTTTTTGCTTGTTTTAAGAAACATATGAAAACTCCCACTGAAGAGAAACCCTATGAATGTAAGGAATGTACCAAAGCCTTCAGTTGTTCTTCGTTCTTTAGGGCACACATGAAGATTCACACTGGAAAGACAAACTATGAATGTAAGGAATGTGGGAAAACCTTTAGCTGTTCTTCATCCCTCACTGAACACAAAAGAATTCACAGTGGAGATAAGCCCTATGAATGTAAGGAATGTGGGAAGGCCTTTAGTTGCTCCTCCTCACTCTCCAAACACAAAAGGATTCATAGTGGAGATAAGCCATATGAATGTAAGGAGTGTGGGAAGGCCTTTAGCTCTTCCTCTCACCTTATAATACATATAAGAATTCATACTGGAGAGAAGCCCTATGAGTGTAAAGAGTGTGGGAAGGCCTTCAGTGAGTCCTCAAAACTCACTGTGCACGTCAGGACACATACGGGAGAGAAGCCCTATAAATGTAAGGAATGTGGGAAAGCCTACAACTGTCCCTCCTCCCTAAGTATCCATATGAGAAAACACACTGGAGAGAAACCCTATGAATGTCTGGAATGTGGGAAAGCCTTCTATCTTCCCACTTCCCTTAATACGCATGTGAAAAATCAAAGTAGAGAGAAACCCTATGAATGTAAGGAGTGTGGAAAAGCCTTTAGTTGTCCCTCGTCCTTCAGAGCACACGTGAGAGATCACACTGGAAAGGTACAATACGAATGTAAGGAATGTGGGAAGGCCTTCAGTCGTTCCTCATCCCTCACCGAACACTTAAGAACTCACAGCGGAGAGAAGCCTTATGAATGTAAGGAGTGTGGGAAAGCCTTTATTAGTTCCTCCCACCTTACAGTACATATAAGAACTCACACTGGAGAGAAACCTTATGAATGTAAGAAATGTGGAAAAGCCTTTATTTACCCCTCAGCCCTTAGGATCCACATGAGAACGCACACTGGGGAGAAACCCTATGAATGTAAGGAGTGTGGGAAAGCCTTTCGCCATTCTTCATACCTTACTGTCCACGCAAGGATGCACACTGGAGAGAAACCGTTCGAATGTCTGGAATGTGGGAAAGCTTTCAGTTGTCCTTCATCCTTTCGAAGACATGTAAGAAGCCACACTGGTGAGAAACCATATGAATGTAAGGAATGTGGGAAGGCCTTTGTTTGTCCTGCTTACTTTCGAAGACATGTGAAAACTCACACTAAAGAAAATATATAAAGTATGGAATAAGGGAATGTCTGCAAGGCTTTTTCAAATCTTAGGCAATGTGTGAGATCTCACACTGTGGAGACACCCTATGAATGTAAGAAAACAGGAAATCATCACTCATATTTTTGAAGACTTGAGAACTCACAACTGAGAGAAACCCTGTGTGTGTAAATCATGTGATAATGCCTCATGAGCATCACTTAGTGTGTGCGAGAAAATTCCTACTAGAAGCAAAGATCAGTGCCTCATCCTTAAAGTGGACTACTGCTGGCTCGCTGATTCCCAGTTTTAATCTTCCAATGTGAATATTTAGGGTGATAAATTTACTCTAATACCTTTTCGGCTCTAGATATACATGTTTTATTATGAGGTGCTTTTATTTTGGTTCAGATACAAATGTTATTTCCATTACAGAGTTTTTTGGACCTATTGGGGATTTGAAGTGCATTTTTTTATATGCAGGCAAGAGTGGGGTTCTTTTGTTTTTTTGGTTTTTTAGTTTCTAATAAACTCTCATTGCTCTCTCAGTGTGTAGTCATGGTGGTATCGATACTTTGGTATTTGTCATTTCTTTTGTAAGTGGTAATTTTGCTTTGATCCAGTAGGGCAGAAACTAGAAATTGCCTACCCAGTATTTTTCCTCCTTTTTTACTAAGAGATTATCAGCTTTTACTATTAAAAGCTCTTCCTGTCTAGTAAGTAATCCAGCAGAAATTAGTAAGTGCTAAGGTCTTGAAAGAAGAGTCTCATCTGATATGCTGTTTTTGCATTTTGTTCTTTGTCCTTGCTTATGACTGAGATTTGGACCCCAATGTTTTGAATTAAAAAAGAGACCTTGTGGCAGGAAAGCTGGAAGTAAAATTGGTTGTGCTGGCTTGTGTTGTGTTACTTTGAGCGTGGCTAGGGCTGCATTTCCCAGAATCACTTCCTTATCCAGTTCCAGGTTAAAGTTGTCTAAAATGAGTTTGTCTAAGAATTGGAAGACAGAGGGAAGAAGCCATTATCTTAGTTTAGTGGAGCCATGAGACAGGAAGACAGATGCATAGGGACCTTACCAGGAAACTGGAAAGCTCCAGTTTCCAGCTCATCTTCCTAATTATTGGACCAATTGATCAATACTGGCTCAAAATGACACATTAAATGCTTGACTGCAGTTATCTCAGAGGCAGCAGCTCCGTAAATTCCTCTATCACGACCATACACAGCTTCTTGGATTTTCTGGGAAATTCTTGCACCGTAATTTTGCTGATATTTATAGTCCCTCATGCACATCAACCAACTGTATAGAGTTGGCTCCAGTTTGGAGCAGGATTGTTGTCATCTACATAGTCCAATTCCATCCTGTCACTCTGCTCAAGGGGAAAGACATCTGTGCAAATCTACTGTGGTCTCAAGACAAGGAGAAGCTTCAATTAAAAAAAAATGAGGAGAAGAGCTGTGGACAATGAGGCTGAGAGGTGTAGTTGAGGTAAGCATCAGACAGGGTGTCCTCCCATTTTAGTGGAGGAAGGTTTATGTTTAACACCTTCAAACAGGGAAGATTGTACTTCTTTTTTATCTGAGAAGATGAAAGCTATTTGATTTGTGCTTTTCCAGGTACGTTTAGCTATATTTTTTCCTTCCATTTTTTTCCCCCTTTACCTCAAAAAGTAGAGCTATACCACTTCCCCTTAATCAGCTTTTCCCCTTTTACTAAAGCATAGATACGCTAATACGTATGAAATGTGCTAATCTTAAGTGCGTAGTGTGATGATCTTACATAAGTATGTGTACACCCTGATAAACAGAACATTTCTAGGACTCCAGAAAGTTCATTCATCTGCCTTCTCAATAATTGCTCCATAGAGGCAACCACAATTTTGGCTTTTATTGTAATTTATTGGGTTTCCTTGTTCTTATATGTACAGTTATGTGTTTGGCTTCTTTTCTCAACATAATGTCTAATTTGCCTTTTAATTGCTCTGATGCACGTATTTCTCTAGATATATGCTTTGTATATAGGAATGAAATTACTGAATGGTAGGGTAGACGTTGTTTAGTTTTGGTAGGTATTCCAGTTTTTCAAAAAGGTTGATTCCACCTGTAATCCTAAAAGCAATGTATGAAAGTCCCAATTGCTCCATATACCTAGTCAGCACTTTCTAATTTTAGCCATTCAAGACAGGATCTGGCAATATCTTGTTTTTGGTTTTAATTTGCATTTACTTGATGTGTAATAATGGTTGAATACTTTTTTATGCCCTTGTTGGCTATTTGGATATCTTTTATGAGGGTACCTTTTGAAGCATTTCACTCATCTTTGGTTCCTTTTTTATTTGGAGGGTTTCCTTCTGGTTACTTGTTCTTTTTTTAATGTATGTGTATTTCTGTCCATATCTAGTTACATACATATACATAAAACATGTGTTATATATTATATATACTTAAATAATAATATGTATATTATATATACGTGTATTGCAGATAACTTTTCCCTGTCTCTGGCATGTCTTCATTCTTTTCCTTTTTGTAAGCTATAAAGGGAATTTATTGGTTTGATTACTGGAAAAGAAAATCCTTGGATGTAACTAAGTTCAGGGACAGCTGGATCCTGGGGCTAAAAAGATGTTACCGGGACGAGCTCTGTCTCCAAGTCTTGGCTGTGCATCTTTCTTCCTGGTGTGCTCTTTCTCTTCATAGTGGCCCTCAGAAGATCCAGGCTACTTTCTTTCCAGGTTGTAGTCTCAGGGAGAAGAGAGTGATTGTCTTTTTGAACAATTCCAATATGAATATAACAGTTGAATTTGATCAGCTCACTGCTAGTCAGATAACTGTGGCCAGAGGAATGTAATACTCTGGTTTATTTAGAACTGGCTCCCATGCTCATCTAGAAAAGAGAGTAGAGTCAGTAGTGACTAAATCATAGGGTCCTGGTGATTGTGATGTATATGATGAAAGGAGGAGGCAACAGGGGTCGGGTAGGGTATAGAAATAGAGGTAATAATCATGTCAGCTAGCACAGTGTGCTTACTCTGGTCTTAACAATGGGAGGGAACTGTGGAGTCTGGAAACTCAGCTAAGGCTAAGTAGTTGTAGAAATCCTTTCAGAAAGTTTAGAGGCCCTCTGTTACCATATTTTAGACTGCTAAAGATGATTTATCAATCTTTGTTGCTCTGTGGTAGTTTTGGATATCTGGTAGCAAGAGCTTTCCAGCTTTTTTATTCTTCAAGATTATCTTGCCTTCTTTGTTCCCCATTTGATTCTATAGAATCTCTATCAGTTTTCACAAATCTTCTTGGACTTTGCTTGGAATTGCATTGACTTTATAGAATAACCTGAATAAAATTGACATATTTATAATATTTGAGTATTCCAATTGATGAACATAATACAATTGTCCATTGATCTAGGTGTTTTGTAGTTTTAATTGTAGAGGTCTTGAATAACTTTGTTTAATTTATTTCTAGGTATGTGGTATGTTTTGCTCTGTATATATTTTTATTTATTTTTTTGGTTTTGGGGGGCTAGCACATAGAACTGCAATTTCTTTTTGTACATTGATCTTTTTATCCTTAACATTTATAAGTCAATTATTTATTTAAATAGTTTATGAAATTCTAGATTTTCTGTGTATACAGTCCTGTCAATACCAATAAAAGAAAGTCTTACTTGATTTCTAAACTTTATCTTTTATTTTTCTTGCCTCAATTGCTTTACAGTGATGAATAGAAATGATGAAAAGGAACATCTTTGCCCTGCTCCTGATGTTAGGGGAAAGTGTTCCATATTTCACCATTAAGTATAATACTAGCTGTAAATTTTTCATATGTAACTTTTCTTAAATGAAAGGAATTCTGTTCTAGTCCTAGACTGCCGAGATTGTTGTTGTTGGTTTTTTTTTTTTTATCATTAAGGGATATTGAATTTTATCCAGTGCTTTTTCTGTGTATGTCAAGGTCTTTTAAAAAATCCTCTGGTCTGTTAATGTGGTGAATTACTACATTCCTTGATTTCCAAATGGTAAAATAGTGTGTTTTCCTGGAATAAACCATACTTGGAAATGTATATATTAGCTTATTAGCCTTTCCATTTTGCTAGATATTCAGTATGCTATTTAAAAAAATTATTTCTGTGTCTGTGTTAATGAGGTTTGTCTTGTTATTTCTTTTATGTTAATATACTTGGCTGTTTTGTATCAGGTTTACACTGCCTCATAAAAGAAGTTGGAAACTGTTCTGAAAAACTTGATATAAAATTTGAACTATCTATTCCTTATATGTTTGAAAAAACTCACCAGTGAATCTGTTTTGGGGTTTTCATCACAGGAAGCTTTTTAAAGGTAGTTTTACTGGTGAATGACACCAAATTATAAAAAGTCAAAAGACTATTTAAAATTTTTATTTGTGTTTGTGTTAGTTTTGCTAAATCATATTTGTCCATTCCATGATTTTCAAATGTGTTGGTCTAAAGTTGTTCATAATATCCTATAATTTTTGTGTCTGAAAGCTATAATTATATTTGCTTTTTCATTCCTGATCTTGGTAGTTTATGCATTCCCCTCCTTTTTCTTCACCTTGGTTGGAATTTAAATATATTATTTAAAATTTTTAAATTTATTTTTATTTTTATTATTTTTTATTTTGGGGGGGAGGTAATTAGGGTTTTTTTAATTTATTTTTTTAACAGAGGTGCTGGGGATTGAACCCAGGACCTTGTGCAGGCTAGGCATGCACTCTACCATTAACCTATACCCTTCCCCTAGATACAATAATTTTTTTTGAAGAACCAACTTTTAGTTTATTTTATTCTGCTTTTTAATTCTTTAATTTTTGGTCTTATTTCCTTCCACTATATTTGGGTTTAATTTTCTCCATATTGCTAGCTATTTGAGATAGACGCTTATATCAGAGCCTGTCTTCTATGTCCAGTCTGCTTATAAACCCATCCAATCAGAATTTTCTGTTATTAACATTATTAGTAGCAAACTCATTTGAGGTATGTGCAGAAAAACACCTTCTATGTGTGTGTTATCTTAAGGTCATGGTGTTTCCTTGGTGATTTGGAAAGGAAACTGGACTGGAAATCAAGACACCTATTTCTGGTCTTCACTTTTCAACACTGTGACCGTAGAAAAAAGCCATTGAAGCTTTCTAGTCCTTAGTTTGGGGTGTATGTGTGAGTTGGTGTGTATGTGTTCAACTTTTTTATTATGAAATAATTATAAATTCACAGTAGGTTGCAAAAAACTATGTACAGAGAAGTCCCATATATCCATCATCCAGTTCCCCCCCCATTGGAAATCCCTAGAATTTATTTGAATTTCACCAATTTTAAATGTGCATGTGTGTATATGTGTGTGTTTGCAGATATAGCACTTGTGTAGCTTGATGGAATCACTAACCACAATCAAGATACAGAACTACTCCATCGCCACAAATGAACTCTCTTAGGCTAGTTTGTATTCACACTCAGACCTCTCCATCACTAGCTCAGACAACCACTAATTTGTTCTCCATCTCTCTAATTTTACTTCAAGAGTGTTATATGAATGAAATCATATATCATGTAACCTTCTGAGATGGACTTTTTTCATTCTACATAACTCCCTTGAGACCCATCCAACTATATTTCTTATGCTGTATATTACATCCCCATGGCTTATTTTATACCTGGAACTTTGTACCCTTTAATCCTCTTCACCTATTTCACTCAGTTTCCTGCCATCCTCCTTTCTGGCAGCCAACAGTTTGCTCTCTGTATTTATAATTTTGTTTCTGTTTTGTTCATTAGTTTTTTAGATTCCACATTATGAGATCATGCAGTATTTCTTTTTCTCTTAGTATAATACCCTCAAGGTCCATCCTTGTTGCAAATGACAAGATTTCACTCTTTATTTTTTTTATTTTTTATTTTTTTTTGTGGTGAAGTAGTATCAAGCACTGTTAAGAGAGAAGAACAAAGCTGGAGGTATTATTCTCCCTGATGTCAAAACTACCCTTCAAAGCTATAGTAGTCATTTGTACTAGCACAAAAACAGACTCATAGATCAACGGAACAAAACAGAGAGCTCAGAAATAAATCCACACTTAACATGGTTGATTAATCTACAACGAAGGAGGCAAGAATATACAATGTGGACAAGTCAGCCTCTTCAGTAAATGGTATTGGAAAAACTGGACCATCTTCTTACATCATATACAAAAATAAACTCAAAATGAAGATACGTGCAAATGATACATCTGATAAGGGATTAATATCCAACTTATATAAAAAATCAGACAACTAATTATCAAAAAACCAAACAGTCTAATTTTAAAATGGGCAGAAAACCTGAATAGACATTTTTTCGAAGAAGGCTAACAGACACATGAAAAAATGCCCAACTGCAGTAATCATCAGGAAAATGCAAGTCAAAACCACAATGAGATGTCACCTCACACCTATTAGAATGGCTATTCTCAAAAAGACAAAAGATAATAAATGCTGGTGAGGATGTGGGGAAAAGGGAACCCTTCTGCACTGCAGCCACTATGGATAACAGTATGGAGAGGCCTCAAAAAATTAAAAACAGAACCACCATACAATCCAGCAGTTCCACTTCTGGGTATTTTTCTGAAGAAAGCAAAAACATTAATTCAAAAAGTTTATTTACAATAATCAAGATATGGAAGCAACCTAAATGTCTATTGATAGCTAAAGAAGATGTGGTGTATATAGACACACACACACACACACACACACACACACACACACACACACACACACACAATATTACTTGGCCATAAAAAAGATAGCTTTTTTAATTGTGGCAAAAATCCCCATGTAACATAAAATTCACCCTCCCCCAAATTTCCAAGTGTGCAGTACAATGTCCCATGCACGTTGTTGTGCAACAAATCCCCAGGAACCACCCCTCCCATCCTTCATGACTGAAACTCTACACCCGCTGAACAACTCCCCACCAGCCCCTCCATTCACCCTCTGGCAGCCATCATTCTACTTTCTGTTTCTGCAAGTTTGACTTCTTTAGTTACCTTATGTAAGGGGAATCATGCAGTATTCGTCTTTCTGTGACTTATTTCACTAGGCATAATGTCCTCAAGGTTCATCCATGTTGTAGCATATGACAGAATTTCCTTCTTTTTTAAGGTTGAATAATGTGTTTTCCTCCAGGAAAAGAGGAAACAGACTGAATCTCATTCATTTCTGATTCCTCAGAGCCTAAACTGTGGCACAGATAGGTGGCAACAACAAAAACCTGTTAAACTTAAATAGACCCTTAGTTAAGTTGAACATCAAGAAGGCAACATGGTTTTACCCACTGGGTGCTTTTCTGCCTGTGCTTCCATCCCTTCCAGCAGTTTCTCATCAGACTAGAGGCACGATACAATGGGGCTTGCATGTTTCTATTCCGTGGACTTTCTATGAGCCTATTATTTTCCTTTTATAAGATACATGTTATTCAATTATCAAAAAAGCGGAAATTTTAGATAATACAAAATTTTAAGGAAGGCGAAAGGGAAGAGGAAGACAAATTGCTTTACATCATGGCCTGAGACACTTTTAGGATTTCACATTTAGGATGTCAAGTCATTCCTTGCTCGCATTCCCTGGGATAAGAAAGGCTTTGACCTCTTTCCCATGAAATTAAAGTCTTTAAATACAATTTGAGATTAAATTTCATCAACAGACCTGATACTGCAGTAGTAATTTAATCCTGATTAAAACACCATAACTGAATATTAAGAGCCAAATTTCTAAGGGTGTTATTCTCCCCCTATCTGGGTAAGGAATGCCATCAGAAAGAGATTGAGATATTGATACACACTTCACATTTAGTGTGTGCATCGTGTGGGACTCAGACTTTCATCTCCTGGCTCATCCCAGGACTTCTGTCACTCCCACTGGAGCTGCATGAACTTATTTTTTCAAGCCTTCTTTGTCCCAGATGAACAGACAGAGGCAGAATCATTGCTTTCTTCTCTTGGGACTCAGTGAGGTCATCTCTGAAGTAGGAGAACAGACCAGTGATTCACAGGGGACTTGCTGGCATGACCGTTTGGTTCATAGGATAGTCTCTGAGTAGTGTGATGCTTTTTCCATTCCACTTTGGAAACCTGAGATACGCAAATATTATTTCTTCTGCACATTGAAGATTTCACGTGAGCTATCATGGAATGACTATTTCTAGACAGACTTCAGGGATAGCCCTGATTCTGCAACTCAGCAGTAAGAGCAGGTAGTTGATTGTATCTGTATCTGATTGTTTTATTGGGAAAACATGTAGGCAACTAATAGTAAAATTAAATATACGCTGATTTTTACAAAGCAAACAACTATATACTTCATGTATATTAGCATATGGTTATTCTCAATTGTGCAATATGGAAAGGTAAAAGAATTTGCATAGGATTGTCATAATAAGGAATTAAAAAATAAAATGAAGTCTATGCCTCTGGCAATAGTATGCGTCAGCTAAAGTGGCTGAATTAGATGTAAGCACTTCACAGACAGACTTAAGGTTTTAATGAGAGCATTTCAGGGACAACATGCATAGCATATACTTTTCAGCTAAGTTTTCAGGAAGACTGTTTATGGATACAAAATCAATCCTAACAACAGGAAAACATACTCACCAAATTCATGGTGGTTGACTTTGTGGGACAAATATGCAGGGGAATGGGATCATGTAGAAATATCAAGATAACTGAAATTTTTTTGCTAATATTTTAAATCTCTATAATGTATAAGTTGAAACAAATATTACTAAATGTTAGCATTTTTAATATGGTGTGTGGGTATTAATAATAATAGATAACATTAATGGAGCATTTACTAAACTGGCCTACAGACCAGTTTGTGGCCATCTGTCACCCCCTGCACTACCCGGTCATCATGAACCCCCACCTCCGTGGCCTGCTGGTTTTGGTATCACTTTTTATCAGCCTTTTGGTCTCCCAGCTGCATAGTGTGATGGTATTAGAATTTACCTTCTTTATGGATGTGGAAGTCCCTCATTTCTTCTGTGGTCCTTCTCAGCTGTTCAGTCTTGCCTGTTACGAAAT